AGCCTGTGCACTTAGACGCTATTTTCTTTTATGCACACTATCTGTCTGTTTATATTCTGACCTCACTCTGTCTCCTTGCATTTTATGTGCAATGACAGTTCAAGACATCACAGCCACGTTAAAGACATTGCATGCATTTGCATGGCTTTTTCCACTTGTTACGCTATCCGCGTTCACTTAAAGGACAAATGATTCTGACAGATGCTAAGCTAGCCAGACGCGCTCTTTTTTTATATGCCAGACCTTTTTATGACACCGTTGTCTTCCCTCCCTCTCTTTATAGGGCTTCTGTTCCTGGCTCACATCTCTGTACCACATGAAGTAAGTGTGCAAGAAGTGCATGGTGATGTCATCAGCCAGCATCCTTTTTGCTCATGTTATATCTCATTAAGAAGGGAAAACACAGGGTGAAGGTGGACCAGCACGTCTAACGTCTGGGCACACTCAAAGGCCTTTCAGAACCGTAAACCAGCCGCTAGTCTGTCTCCACGGTTGCAGAGATGTTATTTGGACGACTCAAATGGCATGTTGGTGCCATATTTAGCTGGTTCCCTTAAAAGCTTCTTGAACTCCCCGGCGACCGAGAGGCCACGCTGAGAATTTCCTCGCTCTGTGTGTGTGTGTGTTTGTGTGTGTATGAGGGCTCCTTGTAATCATAATAGCCCCCAATGCCCTCATGTATTTGTGTGGTCTTTTAAAAAGGCCGCCACATATATATTATTGACCGAAGGCAATAATTCATTGGAAACACTCTGAAAACTCTCAAAGAGATTGTGTTTGCTGTTTAGTTCAACTAGTGCAGATCTAGCAAAACCATAGTCATAGGTTTGATTCTTAGAGAATGCACATGGGTCAATAATATGTTCACGATTAAAAAAATGAAAAATCTTTTACAAGGAAAGAAAAAACGTGTGCCACATGTTTGTTCTCATGTTGGTTTCATGTGGTTTTGAAAAACTTGAATATACACTACCATTCAAAAGTTTGGGGTCGGTGAGATTTCTAAATGTTTTTCTTTTATGTTAATCAGAAATACAGTAAAAAAAATATATATTTTTTTTTTATATATTATTACAACTTAAAACAACTGTTTTCTATTTTGAAACATTGTAAAAATATGATTTATTCTTGTGATGGCAAAGCTGAATTTTTAGCAGCCATTACTCAGTCTTCAGCGTCACATGATCCTTCAGAAATTATTTTAATATGCTGATTTGGTGCTAAAGAAACATTTCTTATTATTATAATGTTGGAAACAGCTGTTGAATGTTTTTGTGGAAATTGTGATACATTTTTTCAGGATTCTTTGATGAATAGAAAGCATACTGACCGCAAACATTTGAATAGTAGTCTGATTTTCAAGAAAAGCCTCAATTTACTGATTCTAAAATGTCATGTGGTGTACTGGGACCATCAAGCAATAAAAGTATGAAAACATTTTCTATGTGAGAAAAAAAACACATTATTTTCCAAAAAATGTAAATATATTTTAATAAAAAAAATTCATAAAAAGTATGTTTTACAAATATCATGAATTATTAATTCATAAATAACGATTAGAGACTTGCAACACGTGACTTTTTACAACCTTTGTACAAAGGACAAATTATCTGATATTTTAAGAGATTTATCGACCATGTCATGAGAGTCTGTTTTGTTTTGTTTTTTGTTTGGTTTGTGTTTTTTGTTTTGTTTTGTTTTGTTTTGTTTTGCTTTGCTTTGCTTTGTTTTGTTTTGTGTTTTGTTTTGTTTTGTTTTGTTTTGTTTTGCTTTGTGTTTTGTTGTGTTGTGTTGTGTTTGTTTTGTTTTATTTTGCTTTGTTTTGTGTTGTGTTTTATTTTTTGTTGTGTTGTTTTGTTTTGTTTTGTTTTGTTCTGCATGTTGGTTGAACCGCAATAACAGAAGATGCCAAAATCCAAAGTAGGGTTTTCTTTCTTTCTTTCTTTCTTTCTTTCTTTCTTTCTTTCTTTATTTCCACATACTGATGCATATATTAGTTGGTTTTGGATAAAAGTGTCTGCCAAATAAAAAAAGCAATTGTAAATAGGCTTTTTTTAAATAGATGTTTTTGTCCTTATTCTTCCCGTAGGGATGAAGAGATCCGCAGTAAATGTGGCATCGATGCGATCACGTACCTGTCTTTCCAGCGTCACATCATCCTGCTCATGATGGTGGTGTGTTTGCTGTCGCTCACCATCATCTTGCCTGTCAACCTCTCTGGGAACCTCCTCGGTACCTCCACCAGATCCATAACTGCTTGGTTACTATTTACTCTAATAGCGCTCAGCCATAAAGGATTCATGACAACAGACACAACACGTTTGGTATCCAGGAAAAGGCAGTAAACTTTAAAATAACATTACATCTTAATTCATCAGTGTGCTTGCACCTAAAAAAGAGTCTTCAGAATAATCTCATGAATTAGTTTTGACAGATTGTTAGTGTTAGAGTGAATATATTAACTACTGTTCAAAAGTTTGAGGTCAGTAAGATTTCTATTTTGAATAAATGCTGTTCTTTTAAACGTTCTATTCCTCAAAGAATCCTGAAGTCTGGTGTCCAACAAAATATAATATGTTTTTAACATTGATAATAATAAGAACAGTTTCTTGAGCAGCAAATCAGCATATTAGATGATTTCTGAAGGATCATGTGACGCTGAAGACTGGAGAAATGGCTCCTGAAAATTCAGCTTTGCCATCACAGGAATAAATTATATTTTAAAATGTATCAAAATTGAAACAGTAATTTTAAACTATAATAATACTTAAGTATACCACTGTTTTTATTGTATTTTTGTAAACATAAGAGACAAAAACAACAAATCTGACCGACCCCAAACTTTTGACGGCAATGTACATTTTCTGTATTGACTTGGAGGGAATTCTGCTGAATGTATTTTAACATGCTAAAATGTATTAAATGTAGCTGAAAGTTCTACAATTTAAAAAAGGCACAAAGCTGGGAGAATGTGTAACATTTGCGGATGCAGATTCCGTGTGGGCCTGTCGATGAATGAGTTTATGAAAAGCCTGGGAAAACTCTTGAAGATGTAGAAGAGCTCAGTCTTAACCCTCCATTAGTGGACGTGTGTAAAAGCATAATTCAGACCACCCTACAGTGTTTGAAGATGGTTGGGAGGCACGATAGAGGGTTAGAAGGGCCAAGTTAAATATGGGAAAGGCCTTGACTTTCCACGCCACAAGAAGAGCATTGTGAAAGCCACTGGCTTTACCTCTTGTTGTTTTCGGACCTGCAATAAGATTTTCATATGACTTTCATACGACCTTGGTGGCAGAAGTTTACTGGGGTCCTCTAAAAGTGTTAAATGTGGATGTGTGGTAGACCAGTTTGTGGTGCAGCTTTGGGGCCGGCTGGTTAAAACAGGGTGGGGGTTTTAACACTTACTTACTTGCTTTGACGATCTCTATGCAACAATTTGACACTGTATTTGTGAAATAAACCGGTACATTTACAAATTTGTCATAGCAACCAAACCCAAAGCATAATGATTGAGGTGTAGCGAGTTTTTTATTTCACATTCACTTTGCGCTGTACGGGCCTCAAATTACTTTCAGAGTTTTATTTTTGATGCTGGTATGTGAGAAGAGCATGAAGTTGTTTATTTCTATACTTTTCAGGAGATAGCCCACAGAATTTCGGCCGAACAACAGTGGTTAATGTCCCCGCACAGTAAGTTTGTTTTTTATGATGACTGTAGACCTGAAAAGCATATAGCCTTGTTGTGCATGTACATATTCATGAAGTTGTTGGCATGATCTTGATAACTTTCTTTTCTTCGTGCATTAGGAATATATTTCTGTGGCTGCACAGCATCTTTGCTCTGCTGTATTTTGTGATCACAGTACTGTGCATGGCCCATCATTCCTCACGACTGGAATACAGAAATGATGAGAAGGTTGGTGAAAAGCTGTATTCGTGCGCATGTGTTATTACACCACATTTCTGGTCCATAAGGGGCACTGCTTTTAACAGTGCTTTTAACAGGTCTAAAATAGGCTTTATATATTTATATATAATTTAGAATTTTAAAATAAATAAATAAATATAATTTTATGAATAATTATTTATTACTAATTATATTTTTTATTTAAATTTAAAAGGAAACCTACATTTAAAGAAAAATTATTATTAATAAATAATATATTAATAAATAATTACTAATAAAATTTTATAAATTAAATATAATTTATAAATAAAAATATAAAGACTGTTTTTACATGCATTAGATTTTGGGGGGAATTGTGATGTGCTTTCATTACAAATAAGCAATTTTCTTATTTCAGAAATGCTTTCAGATGTTTGTTTGTCTGCAATTGTAATTATTTGTACTGTTTCTCATTAGATTCTATATAAGGTAAAACAATAATGAAAATCATCCTGACTGGACAACTAGTATTTTATATTTTGTTTTATTTTATTTTATTTTATTTTAAATTAAACTATTTAAAATTAAAACAATTAAAATTAAATGTACTGCAACAATATGATGTATAAATACTTCTACAGTTTAAACAATTAAAATTTTATATATATATTATTTTACATTACGATTTTGACAGTGGAGTGAAAAATGTGATATTCACTTTAAAAATGAAATAAAAGTTAGATGATCTTTCATTGCACTCTTAAAACTGAAGATTCCAGAAGTGGGTTTTCACAGAGATGCCATAGAAGAACAATTTTTAGCTCCCCCACACTTTCAGTGAAAAAAAACTTGTGACGTATATTTTAAAACCTTTTTCCACTATAAAGAAACTTTTGTGCAGTCAAAAGGTCCAATGAATTTTAAAGGTTCTTCATGGAACCATATATGCAAACAAAGAACCTTTATTATTATTTTTTTTTTTTTAAATATGTAGTGTTCACCATTCAAAAAAAAAAAAAAGAAAAGAAAAAAGAAAAACCTGTGATGTTGTAATTGATCGAGTTTCTACCAAAAAACCTCAACATTGTTCGTTTGTTGGCTGTATTTCAGTGCTACAGTGCTGTAAAGCACTGTATTTCTTCAAAAAATGCACTTTTAGCTTTCATTTTTGATTTATTATTACTGCAGGTGGCCAGAACTCTAATGATAACTTCAATTCCCAGAGAAATCTCTGATCCCGGCCTGATCACCAAACACCTGCAGTGAGTGAAGAGCACAGATCTGTTATCCACAGAATTACAACTATTGCTTGATCTCCATATTTCAGCATATCTGATATTAAATGTCAACACAACAGAGGGCATTCAATTTTCTGTCTCTTCTATCTCCAAACAGTGAAGCATACCCTAGCTGCACCGTCACTGATATCCGGTTCTGCTTTGATGTACAAAAACTAATGAAGCTGGACTCAGAAAGGTCATTTGCGTTTGCACATCTCCTGCATGACATAGAGCTGAGTCTGCAAATATTGCATATTAAACCCTATTAAAACTATATCCTGTACAGGCGAAAAGCAATGAAAGGAAGGCTGTACTTCACAACCAAAGCTCAGAAGGAAGGCAGGATCATGATAAAGACTCACCCTTGTGCACAGATCTTCTGCTGTGATTTATGTGGCTTTGAACAGGTAAATGTCCCTCACATAGTCATTATAGTTGTCAGAATGGATATATTTGTATATGTACAGATTGTATACATATAGAACGGCTGGAACTGCACCTCCTAATGTTGGCCACTGGAGACCACCATACACCAACCGCCAGTCATGAACTGCTCTGCGAGGAGATGTGATACACATCTCTCATGTTTTATGTCATTGTCATTTTCGTCAGGTGGATGCAGAGCAGTATTACAGTGAACTGGAGGAGAAACTGACAGATGAGTTTAATGCAGAGAAGAACCGTATCTCTATGAAGAGGCTGGGCATTGCCTTTGTTACCTTCAGAGATGAGAGAATGACTGCCGTGTAAGTCACATGGATAAATAGCTGATTATTGAGGTGATTACTGAGAATAAGTATCATTCGTCCAGAGATACTGTAAGCATAGGAATGAGTACCTACATTTAAGAATATGAAAGTATTTTTAATAAAAAGGTAATGTATTAACATGAAGCACATTTGCTGAGAGTTACAGTTGAGGTCAAAAGTTTACATCCCCCTTTCAGAATTTGCAAAATGTTAATTATTTTACCAAAACAAGAGGGATCATACAAAATGCATGTTATTGTTTATTTAATACTGACCTGAATAAGATATTTCACATAAAAGATGTTCAGTCCACAAGAGAAAATAATAGTTGAATTTATAAAAATGACCCCGTTCAAATGTTTACATCCCCTTGATTCTTAATACTGTGTTGTTACCTGAATGATCCACAGCTGTGTGTTTTTTTTAGTGATAGTTGTTCATGAGTACCTTGTTTGTCCTGGACAGTTAGACTTCCTGCTGTTCTTCAGAAAAATCCTTCAGGTCCCACAAATTCTTTGGTTTTCCTGCATTTTTGTGTATTTGAACCATTTCCAACAATGACTGTATGATTTTGAGATCCATCACTGAGGACAACTGAGGGACTCACATGCAACTATTACAGAAGGTTCAAACGCTCTAGAAGGAAAAACCATGTTATTTTCAAATTATATATATATATTGTAATTTTAAAAAAAATTAAGATATAAAGATATTATTACCAAATCTGAAATTATGTACAGTTTGATACCATATCATCGGTTTGATTTCTGTCAGGTTATTTTTATCTGACTGAGTTAAAAAAAATAAGTTCAAGAACTATCCAGTACAAAGTATAGATTTATCCTATGCTAATTAGAAATACTCTTTCCTATTAACATTTTTTTTAACTTATTATCATTAAAGGGATAGTTCACCCAAAAATAAGTTTAACATTTACTCACTCTCTTGTCATTCCAAACCCAAAAGACTTTTGTTCATCTTCAAAACATCTAAAAAAAAAAAAAAAGTTATTTTGAATGGAATCTGACAGATTTCTCTCCCTTCAATGAAAGTCCTGTTCACCAAAACATTTATGCTTCAAAAAGTTCACAAGGACATCGTAAAAGTAATCCATATGAATTGAGCAGTTCTGAAATGATCGCTTCATATATATAAACATTGATCAACACACATACGGTACATAGAGCACATCAAATTAAGCGTTAGCGTTAGTTCTGGCAGGTCACATGAGTCAGGCTTGCATCAGCTGATTCTCAGCTGATCACATCTACCTATAGGAATACGACACCTATCACGGCATTCC